CATCTAGACAAGCAGCATGCTAGCAAGAGTAGGGCACCACACATAAACATACTCATACTTTAGAGACACAAATAAATCAATAAAAAAACACAACTTTGGTGCTCGCTTTGGACACACATATACTAAAAGTAGAACGATACAGAGAAGATTAAGGAGTTCTGGTAGCGTAGTGTTTACAAATTGGGCTGCGAACTGCAAGGTCAGCAGTTTGAAACTACCAGCTGTTCCATGGGAGAAAGATGAGGCTTTCTGCTCCTGTAAAGATTTACAGCCTCAGAAACCCTGTACAGGGTCGCTATGGGTCGGAACCGACTTCACGGCACATCACCACCATCAACACAGAATAGATTAGCATGGCCCCTGTGCAAGAATGACATGCAAATTTGTGAAGTGTTCCTTATTTAAAACAACAAACAATGCAATCAATTACTGTGCCAGGACACGTGAATTATGTTTTCTGATAAAATGATTTATTAACCCAAGAGAGAGCAAAGAAAGAAGAAACAAAAAAACAAAGAAAGGAAGAGAGAAGAGAAAGAAGGAAGAAAGGAAGAGTTCCAAGTGGTTAAGCTTGCTTACTTATAGAGGCATGCTCACATAGCCACTCTGAGGGCTGAAGTGCAGAGGGAACATTTAGGAGACAAACCTTGGGGAGTGATGCAGACTGTGACTAAGTGGTGTGCTGAAATGTGTATAGTCTGCTTTAGAAATGATGCTGGTGCTAAGGAGGCTGTGCAGGGAAACCCTGGATTGCTGTTGAGAACCCAGTCACAACTATTTTCAGGACATAAAATGATCTGCTGTATCAAAAGACATGCATGCAGATTTAAAAACTGAATGTGTTCTTTTACCCTAAAGGGCATGACTATGTGATCACAGCAGTCCAGGCAGTGGAAAAGGTTCTGGCAAAGCCAACTGGTCTTTTGTCAATAGTGTCTAATGCATGAAGTCTGTTCTTGAGATGGTCTTTAAAGTCAGGTGGGTTATGTTCAAGATTATACTTTGGCTCTTGTGGGCTTGTTTTAATTTTCTTCAGCTTTGGCCTGAACTTGTATATGAAAATTTGAAATATGAAAAATTGATGGTTTGTTCCACAGTTTGCCCCTGGCTTTGGTTTGGCTGATGATATTGAGTTTTTCCATCAACTCTTCCTACAGATGTAGTCAGTTTGATTCTTGTGTATTCCATCTGATGAAGTACACCTTTTATGTTGTTTAAAAAAGATATTTGCAAGTTTGTCACCGATAAGGGGAAGTGAGGGAAAAACAGCAATGAAGCTGCGAGCTAAGCCCTACAATGCTCAATAGACCCCTGTGAACCCGGATGGAGACCTGATTGGCCAGCAGGGGACTCTTGGACCCAGAGTCAGCAACATAGCCACAGGGGACTAGACTGGAGAGTGAAGTGTCCAGCTGATAAGCAGAGAGGGCACATGCATAAGTATACCCACAGTTTCAGATAATACCCACTTGACCTGGCTTCAATGGCTGGAGGATCAGAGCTCAAACAGAAAAAGAAAGAAGAGGGAAAAAAGAATAATCTGATACAATTTGATGAACTTGACCTACACCTATGGATGCAGTAGCTCAAAAGAGTGAACAAATCTTCACAGCAAGGATTATTCCCACCTCCTCCTCACACGGAGAGGACAGGGATGGGCAACTTGGACATTGGCTACCCAGTATGGGGGGCTTCAGAGCCAAGAAGTGACTGGCTTACATGCTTTCACGAGGTAACCTAGATCCAGAGAGAATGGAGCAAGGTAGAATCTCCACTGACTAGTATCCGTTCTGCCTAGTCAGGGCTGATGAAAGGAGATGCGGCTAGGTCTCCTGCGATACAAAAGCGAATAATTGTTATCAAAACTGATTGTAAGGGCTGGAGATGTAAAGGTGAATGTTTTGGGGCAAAGGGAAGGGAGTGATTAACCTTACAGTCTAGGAGTGGAGGTCCCTGGGACCATCAAAGGAAAAGAGCAGAGAATGGAACCCTACACAGAGAAGCAGTGATGCCAGGGATGGAGGCAGAGATGATGACGTGGGGAGATGGAACGGCTGGAGACTTTGGACCTGGAGAAAGAGAGGGATGGTGTGGGTGCGTGGACAACAGGGGGGCAGGCTTGTGGGGTGTACCCTTTGGTTGATCGACGATGCATGGAAGGGATTGTAACCATGGCAAGGAAATGATATACGATGGGATCAATGCGAAGCTGATGTCCTCCCATGTAACTATCACATAATTCACAATAAAGCATTAAAAAATTTTTAAAGGTATTTACAATGGAAAAAAAAAGGTATTTGCAATGAATAAGTCATTAGGCTTGCAAAATTCTATCATGCAATATCCCGCATCATTTTTATCATCGAGGCCATATTTTCCAACTATTGAGCCTTTTTCTTTGTTTCCAATCTTTGCATTCCAATCACCAGTAATTATGAATACCTCTTGATTGCATGTTGGATCAATTTCAGATTGAAGAAGTTGGTAGAATTCTTCAATTTCATCATCACTGGCTTTAATGGTTGGTGTGTAAACCTGAATCATAGTGGCATTAGTTGGTTTTCCTTATAGGTGTATGGATATTATCCTATCAGACATAGCATTGTACTTCAAGGCAGATCTTGAAATGTTCTTTTTGATAATGAATGCAATTTCATTCCTCTTGAATTTGTTCTTCCCAGAATAATAAACCGTATGATTAGTCAGATTCAAAATGACCAACACCAGTCCATTTCAGCTCACTAAATGCCTAGGATATCGACATTTATGTATTCCATTTAATTTTTGACAACTTCCAATTTTCTAGACTCCTATTTTGTACATTACATGTTCTGATCATTAATAGATGTTTGCAGCTATCTCTCCTCATTTTTAGTTGTGCCCCATCAGCAAATGAAGGTCCTGAAAGCTTTACTCCATTTGAGTCATGATGGTTAACTCTACTTTGAGGAGGCAGCTCTTTCCCAGTCATATTTTAGAGTGCCTTACAACCCAATGGACTCATCTTCTGGTACTCTATCAGACAGTATTCTGGTGCTATTCATAAGATTTTCAGTGGCTAAATATTCAGTAGTAGTCTGCCTCCCCTGCTTCATAGTCTGTCCTAGTCTGGAAGTTCTAGATGGGAGGACGAGAATAAACTTTCTGGAGATTTCTGAATTAACAAATATTTTCATTAGTTAGATAAAACCTATTAGTAGTAATGCAATTTATTTTGTAATCTGTGAACTGTTAAAATAAGGAATTATCACTCTTTTTATAGGCTAAAATCTATCTTTACAATTTACGGGACCTCAGCATAGTACAGCTCCTTAGCATGAATAAGTTAACAGTGAGGATAACATTGATTATAATATCTAATAGTATGAATTTTTGACTTTCAGTAATTAGGACATATGTCTTTATACATACGGTCTTGCTGTATGCATATAATCTTGTGGAAGCTGGATCATGAGTGGAAAGGAGCCTGGATAAGCAAGTAAGTCCTTATGTTCACGGGCAATAGGCATGCATGTATGTATGTATATACATATTATCTATTGAAAGTACATACTATATCCGAGAGTAAATAGATAAAGGCTCACAAAACAGACTAAATGCTTTAGAGAAAGGAAGACCGCTTAAGGGAAATAAGACCCAATATATCCAGACTACACTCCCAGCTAAGGTTACTCAAGGTATAAGTAGATTTGTGTTATCTTTCAGTAAACCAGAAATTAATTGGAACTTAATCCAACAGCATTTTAGGAGGTTGTGGAACAATATACACTTGTCTGGGGATATTCATCAGCTACATGCCCAAATTTATGATATAAGTAATTCTCAAAGTGAACACTGAGTGGCTACTAATTTGCTACCCCTGCTAGAGAGTAAGATCCCCTAAGAACTTGATTGAACCTCAGCATAGTGATCCTGCTTGGTCACCTTAGAGCAGGTGGTGGGCCGGCAATGTCAGGCGCATGGGGTCCCCAGCTGATCTCCTCCCTCCCCGTCTTCCTTGGATGGCGGCTGTTTATGCTGGACGTGTGGCCAGAGACGGGTAAGGATCACGTGGAACCTCGGCTACTTAAGACAGAGCCATTGCCATGCTGCAATGAGTCTCAATGACTGGTAAGACTGAGGAATTCGCACTGACCGCCTAAGACAGGCAGCGTCCCTTAAACAATCAATAAATAAGGAGGATTCAGATGCAGACAGTGCAGACCCGGTCAGGAGGCCAAGCCCCTGTGGGCCCAAGCGTTGTTGACCATCCAAACCATAGGCTCTGAGGCTCAGACTCTAGCCACCTAGTAGACATAGCAAACTGTCCCTCATCTGATTATTCAGTAATGCTTGTTAGTAATCTCATACATGAGCCCTGGGTATCCACAGAAAAATGTAAAAACCTTCCCTAAAAGCCGAGACTGTAATTTCCAAAAAGGCAAGTCCCCCCACATCCAAAAAAAAAGCTAAAGAGGATAGAGAGAAACACTGTAAACTGATGATATATGGAGGGGATAATAATCAATGTAATGAAACAAGCTATATGAATGGTTGAATGTGAAGCTGATGATGTGCCCTGTAAACTTTCACTCAATGCAAAATAAAAACATTTAATTAAAAAAAAAAAGAAAGTACATACTATATAAAACCCAAAACTAAAACCCCTGCCACTGAGTCAATTCGGGCTTCGTGACCCTATAGGACAGAGTGAACTGTTCTTTTGAGTTTCCAAAACTGTAAGTCTTTACAGAAACAAACAGCCTCATCTTTCTCCTGTGGAGTTGCTGCTGGGTTTGAACTGGTGATCTTCAAGTTAATGGCCCTATGTTTAACCCATTGTATCACCAGGGCTCCTTCAATATTCAAAGGGATAGGTTAAAATTTTCGAGACTGATTTTAACTCCAGATTAAGAATTCCTGCAACAAAATTTTTTTTAGGAAAGTTGGTTTCTCATATAAGTTTTATAAACTGTCTTAGTACATCTACACAATTTATAAGTGAGAAAAAGAAATCTTACCCTTAGTTGTGACTTTTCACCAAATATGTAGAGGGCTGCTTGGCGTTTCAAGAGCTGGTTTTGTAGGTAGGTGCTGTTACTAAAGGAGGTCGGGTGATCCTTGCCTGCCAGCCGGGCACCAACATCAATGAAGGATGTTGGAGAGCTGATCAAGCGAGTGCTAGAACGCAGACTTGCCCATACACCTTCACAAAAGCCAAAAGAGTTGGGTGAGATGATCTGTTGTGGAAATGCCAGTGGATATGGAGAGAGATGCATGCTGAGAAGGTATAGTTTTAGAGGTAATAGCCTACATTAATTAATCTAATAATGATGGATCATAAGCAATCATTTGTCATTTACTTTTATAACAGCTAAGTATTATTCAAATAGCATATTACAGTCATACAATCTTGAGCTTGGTGGAACCTAAGAAGTCACCAAGTCAATCCTATTTTGATATTTTAATATACATTTATAATTTTAAGCAAGTACTTAAGTAGAAAGAGTGCACTGACAAAAACGAAGAAAAATGCAGGCATGAGGCAATAATGAAGTCTAGGGAGGAGAAAGCTGAGTATATCAATTTCTTAGTACTTCATAAAAGAAGTAAAAACATTCATCTGCTTTATTCAGTCAATTCAGTAAGAAATCTAGATGAAAAAATTACTAGAAATCTACTAAACCTACTTAAATTTGAGGATGGCTTTTGAGTTAATATCTATGTACCATACAAAACTGATGTAACTATGAGTTAGCAAAAATTATAGTCTTTTCGCCTCTGAACACCATAAAAAAACAGAATTTAGAAACTTAGTAGTGTGCATTTCATGGAATCTTAGGAGGCTTTATTTACAATGTATAGTCAGAAGCAGATACTTTAAAGGGAAAGGCCAAGCTAAGTTGCTAGAAGAATCTGCTTTATCAATTTGAAAAATCAAGAATTTCTATATTCAAGTGAGGCTATTAAGTATTAAATAACCAAATACAATGGTAAATACTAATTCACAAATTTGAATAACATGGTAGTACTTTCAAAACAACAGTGTTCCTTATGTACACATGCCTGTCGACTGTATTATTCATTCCAATGATGGGGTGACAGGTATAACACACAGATGCAACTGCTTACCTAATATGGGTTTTCTTCTCTAGATTTAGAAATGCTCTTTAATTTTTTCCAAATGTTATATTAGGCCATGTTTCTAGGTGACTGTAAGTAACCATGATAACATCACATCTGCTTCTTTCCTTATATGTATTTAAGGGGCAGAAGATAAGTTTCAAGAAAAAGTTTTCTACATGATTTTTGCTTAACATGAATGAATCTTTTTATATATAACCCAGGAGATATGCTTAGGTATTATGCATGGCAAATACTGAGTTTTCAAAACTTTTGTAAATGGAATCACAGAGGAAATCCAGAATGTGAAAAAGGATAAACGATATAATTTGACAAACAAATGTGGGGGAAAACAAACAAAAAACACTTGCAACATATGTTTTCACATGAAGGTGGTTAAAAAAGGGGATGTGTCAGGACAGATAATACAGTACCTTGATTATGAACTCTTCCCTTAGCTGAAGATTTGGGATTTGACTGAGTAAAACATTTATGTCTGTACCCAAACCCTGGTAGGCAAGATTAAAGACAGAGGAGGAATGTAATGCACACAGCAGCAAACATCAGAGCAGATTTGAGTAAGAGAAAAAGAGGTTAGTTTTTAAAATTAAATTAGCATAGGACAAAATGTAAATATAATATAGGCAGAAGATTCCATCAACAGATCAAAAGCTGCAGTCACACAGAAAAAATGAATTGAGTGCCTGTTAGAAGAGATGTCAGCACCTGCTTATAAATACGAGAAGCAGAATGAAAAAGACAGCACAGCAGACGGTGCCACTAACAAATTATACCAAATGGAATTCGCTTTTGGAGATTTTAATTGAGTCAGAATCAAACTTATGGTAGGAATACATTGGCCCTAGTGTTTAGGGAGGCTGACTGATTGGTAAATGCTACGTGTTGTTCAACACATTTGTTCTTTGGGAGAGTTTATCGTATCAGGAAACAATGAAAGCTCTAGCAACCATTTGGAATAACTAAGGGCATGTTTTTTGCAATAGAGCATTAAGCATTGCCACACAACCTTCCTTCTCTTTTCAATTTGAAATTATATTTATTTTCCATAAGTAAAAAGTTATGAGCAGCAAAAATTCATGATCCTGTGACAATACCCAACACCGCTAATACTACAGTCTATAATAACTGAAATAATGGTTTCTCATAAAATTCCTATTTGTACCAAAATGACAGGTAGTATTAGAGATAATAGTTTTGTAATTTGAGTAATACATACGTATATACAGATATATATATATTTCCCTCTCTCTCTCTTTTCCCCTGACAGAAAGAAAGTGCTTTTCAACTGTAGGAAAACTTACTTGATAAACACAAAAGTAGTTAGCAGTGAGTTACAGTTGCATAGTTTTCTGACGAAAGGAATTGCTCAAGTCAATTAAGGGAGTTTTTTATTTATTCAGGATTTGAATAGCAGCATTATTAAACTGTTGTTGTTGGTGTTATTGTTGTTAAGTGATGTTTAGTCAGTTCCAACCCATAGCGACCTGGTTTAGGGTTTTCAAGAAGTCAGAAGCTAAAGTTTGTAAAGTCACAGAATAATGGCGCACATATAATGAGAACCAAGACTTGGGATGACATGGCAAAGTCACAAGGCCGGTAGACTAGTGTCCTTTCTGATAAGGCACTGGTTTCTTACTGGAATGTTGTTGTTGTCGTTAGGTGTCATTGAGTCGGTACCGACTCATAGCAACCTTATGCACAGCAGAACGAAACACTGCCCGATCCTGGGCCAATCTCACTACTGTTTCCACGCTTGAGTCCACCAAGATGAATATCATGACTCTTTAGCTATTTCTGATTTTGAGAAACCATTGTCTGAACATATCAGTTTCTCATGTTAGTCCCTCTGCCTGGAATAATTTTAACCATTTCTTTACCTGACAAAATTCTACTGATCCCTAGAGCTCTAGGTATTATGTTAACTCCAACTGCTCCCCACTATTGATTGGGAGCTCTATATGAACTCATATTACACAGTATTGTGACTATATGCATATTATTATATTCAACTAGATAGTGTGCTCTCAAGGGCAGAGACCAAATCATGTTTACTGTTATATTCATCCTATACATAGCCTAAATTTAGGAATTGCCTCAAAACATTTACTTATTTATTTTTACAAATCAATACATTGTGAGCTGTGGTGGTCCTCAACTATAGCTTCATTAAGCATTTCCCTAAGAAGAGGCTCATTAATGAAGCACTGCCAAGGGTTTATCACTGTAACAAGAACTCAGCAATGAGAAAATGCCAATCCTGATAAGGGACCAGCAGAAGGCTCTGAGAATTGTAATTCTATCTGGAAGGAATGCTAATCAAAGTAAGTGCACTACTGTATTGGTTGTTGTAGTTGAAACCTGCCTGGAGTGGGTTTCAACTCATAGCAACCCTAGGTAAGGTTTTTGAGGCTTTAAAAATCTTTTTGAGGGAGCATAAAGTCTCATCTTTTGTAGCTGGTGGACTCAAACCACCAACCTTGTAGCTCCCAGTCCAGTCTTTTTTCTATATAATGATGAGGTAAACTTAGATTTCCTGAGTGATTCCTATTTATAAGTATTTGTCTTGAGCATAGTACACCTGTTAAGGGTCTAGAGTGGATCCCCCTTAATGGATTATTAAATCACTTTAGTAGGTCAAATCTACTACATTAAAAATAACAAACAAAAAACACCTGAAAAAGTATTAAAATATTATGTGCACTGCATATTGCTGTTAAGTTCCGACTCATAGCAACCCTGTATAGGGTTCTGTGGAATAGCTGTTGAGTTTGAACCACCAACCTTGCAGTCCAGTGTTTATCTTACAGTGCCATACCAGGACTCCACACTGCATATAGTGTAGATGTGTATTATTTCATAAAACTTTTGTTGTATATATATATTTTGCATATGACTTAGTACTGTCTGAATTATGATATAAAATGAGTATGTGTGTACACATTTAGGATGTAAAATGTATTTCTTACTATGAGTCATGATCAGGAGAGTTTGACAATTATTGGCTTAAACCTAGAGTATATACCAGTATATTTATTTTGCTGCCTTAGGTTAATGAGCAGAAATCTGGCTCAAGGCAATCTAAATGCAAATATAAACTTTCCTACCATTTCAGCAGTGTGTTAGTCAGTAGTAATGACAGACATCACCACATACAATAATGATGGCAGCTAGCCTTAACTGAGCTCCTACTATTAGCCAGTTACTAATATGTTCACTGTTTGAGATAGAAGAATGGGATTTGTGTTCCTGAATCCTAGCATAAGATACCAGAATACTGGGCACTATGTTAGGAGAAAATGTCTGTCATTAAAGAACACAGTAAGCCAACAATACTTTTCAGCAGAAAATATTTGGGAAGAGTGTCTGCAACAATAACAGCTGAAGATTTACATAGACTGGATTATAGACAAATTAGATGGTAGTGGTGTTATGTGCCATAGAGTCAGTTGCGAATCATGTGACCCTGTATAGAGTTTCCAAGGCTGTAAATCTTTAAGGGAGCAGAAAGTCTCATCTTTCTCCGCGGTGTGGCTGGTAGATTCGAAGTGCTGACTTTGCAGTTAGCAGCCCAACTTGTAACCCACTATTCTACCAGAGCTCCTTAAACAAATTAGAGTTCTTAACTCAAACAAGTAGGCTTCCAGGTATCTTTGAGACTAGCAAAGAATGGACTCATGATCAGAATGTAACCATTAGCTATGAGCCTGAGGTCAATATAAAAGGAAAGAACATATGTTAGTTGAAACAACTGGGTGAAAAATCTATGAACCTTAGGATAAAAGCAGAAACATTTCCGTAGCTAAAATTTATAACAGGTCATCTGGCTAAATGGAGAGATGAATAATGTCCCAATAACATTAATAAAGGCAAAACACAATAGCAAAGTGTGGGGTAGGAGGACTTCAACTAATCACATAGCTGCTGGAAGTTGTATTCTACTAAAAGTATAATGGAAAATTACTAATGACTTTGCTGACAATAGAAACTGTCAGATGGCAAATGAAGCAAAAGAGAAAGTGCAACCTCGAACCAAATTCTGACAAAAGAAAAGAGTTCTTGCTACTAGAAATACCAGGAACCTTAAGAGAAAGTCACTGCCTCAACTTTTACTCCAAAATTACTAAGAAAGAAAGAATGAGAACAAGGAAGTTTTTATCTTAAAAATTTAAACTATGGTATTTTAAAAGTTCATAAGAAGCTATTTATGACCCTATAGCTTGACACATTAATTAGGATGACAACTCAAGAAGGTCAAGAAAGCTCTTAGGAAATTCTACAGTTGTAGAAAATTCTGATGAGGAAGAAAATAAATAAGTATCCAAAGAACCAATGTAACTGCCAGGACATGTGTAGGAAATCCTGGTATTTGAGAGGGAAAAAAAGTGAATTTTAGAAACTAGAGCTTTTATATTGACCCTAAACCAAATTCTAGACTGGATTATTGGTGGTTATGTGCCGTGGAGTTGGAAACAACTCATAGCGACCCTGTACAGGATTTCTGAGGCTGTAAACCTTTACGGGAGCAGAAAGCCTCATCTTTCTCCTGCAGAACAGCTGGTAGTTTTGAACTGCTGATCTTAAGGTTAGCAGCTCGATTCGTAACCACTATACTACCAGAGCTCCTAGACGGGATTACTAATGGCCTGTTTATTGGTACTCAGAAAAAAGCAGTAATTCCTGTAATAAATCATACCAAACTAGTCATATAATCTTTTGTAATATAATTAACAGGGGGAAAGACTGGAAAGGAGTGAATTAAAAAGACTGACAGAGATTTAAAAATGTGAGCCAGGTGAGAGTTTTAGTTGGAGAACTCATAAGCAGTATAGATTTACCAGCCTCAGAAACCTTATACAGGGTTGCTCTGTGTCTGAACTGACTTGGTGGCACTTAATAACAATCTCCATGTAAGTCAATGTAGTGATGGAACTGTTCCTATATCTAATATAATCTTTATGTATACCTAGAGTGCTGGGCTCAATTCGGTGAAGAGTTCACAGAATGACAACAATGGTGAGTGAACTACAATCATTTAACTTGGGATGTTTACAATTAACTAAATTAGAGAGAAAACATAGAAACAATTATCATGTCAAAAGAGCTGTAGTATGAGAGAGATCAGACTTACTGTGGAGTTTAAGAGGGCAGAGCAAGGGTCAATGTGTAAAAGTTATACAGTGGGAGATTTTAAGATCAATAAATAACAACAAAGCCAGAAACAATCCCAAATCAGTTGCTGTCTAGCCAGTCTGGCTTGTGGTAATGCCATGTGTCAGAGTAGAACGGCTTCAGTAGCGTTGTCAAGACTGTGACCTTTCAGAAGCAGACTGCCAGGCTTGTCTTCTGAAGTGCCTCTGGGTGGACTTTTAGTTAGTAGTTGACTGAGCACTTAATCACCCAGGGATTCCTTCTACCATATGTTGTTGTTAAGTGCCGTCGAGTAGATTCCAACCTATAGCGACCCTTTATAGGGTTTCCAAGGAGCACCAGGTGAGCTTGAACTGCCGATCTTGCGGTTTAAGCCGACTTTGCAGTCCAGCACATTAACCCACAGCGCCACACCAGGACGCCTCTACCATACAGAGCCAATTTAAAAATACCATGGGCTATTTGTGGGAAGAAGTGCGTTTTCCATTACTGATCACGTTCAAGCAAAACCAAGAACATGGCCTTGGTACATTTTCAAAGGGATTCAGCATTTTGTGGGAGTGAGAGGAATAGTCTAGGATTCTGTGACTTCATTGTGCAACAGAAGAATGTTACAATCAAGATGCCTACTTTGGAATTTCCTCTGTAAAGTAAAAGAATCTCATATAAACTTCCTGAGACCAAAGTAGACCACCCTTTGGAACTTAAAAGAACTAATGTGTACTCAGCTTTTCTTTACTTCCTCATACCAGCCACCACAATTCAGAAGAAAAAAGAGCAATCTGGATATCATTCTATCTTATCCACTAAACTAGTATTTCACAAGTCAGGCACAGGAAGTATAGCCTTTAGGTCTGCTATCACTTCTCCTTAGCTGTATGTACTTCTGTGATCAGTCTTGTCACCATGCAAACATGGAGCATCAGGGCATCCTCCCAGAGTGGACTCCTCATTAGGATGTGCTCGTCTTACCTTCTGAAGTGTCACAAACTCAATACTTAAGCCTTCAACAATTATTCTATCTCTTGTCCCATGAAGTTAAACTCATGTGTCACTATGTTAGTGATAAATTTGATCACTTATTTGGAAAAGGGTGAGAACAGTTGGAACTGTAATGAGTTGATTTAAAGTATTCACTATCTAGAACAATTAATGTTTTCTGTTTTTAAGCTTCTATCAGTGCTCAGTTATAAAATCAATCTTACTAACCTCCTCGAGCAAAGCTATTGGATGGGTTTACATCCAAATGTCCTGGCACTACCTGCTTAAGCACAGTGGACATTCTTGAAGTCCTCCTTTCAGTCCCTAAAGTCAGCCAAAAAGAAGAACAGAAACCATGTCGTTTGGGTTAACATTACTCAAATGACAAAAAGTTATCTTCATGTGTAGCATGTCTAATTGCTGCCAAACACTGCACTTTTTAAGTACCCAAAAGTTTATTAGAGATAACAAGGCAATGTTATTATTTCATCTGAGATAACACACATTTGCAAGATTATAGAGAGTTAGGTTTGGCAAATGCAATCAGAGGATTTAATGATAAATGAAGCAAGGCATGCATGGTGTTACTTTACAAGAAAAGCCACTTTCTGCTTATGTTGAGTTAATTCAAATAGCTGATTAAGCCAAGAAGACCAACTTTTCAAGTCACATGCTCCTTTGTCTAACACACTGGGGTTACCTCTACATGAACCCTTTGGGGTTCCATCACATGATAACTGAAACAGAATATTAGTACAAGTCTTAATGGCTTCATCCAAATCTATTTAAAACAAATTGTACTGTGAATCATAAAAGGCTGCAGGAATGTGGGGAATTTCAAGCTTATACATGATGATTTTAGTGGAGACACATTTAATGACCATATGTTTAAGTCACACATTGTAACATCTTAACAATATTTTTAAATGTATGTAAAACAGATCTGGAGGGAAAAATCCTAGTAATTTTATTTATGTTCTACCATCTTTTCTCTTTCTGTTAATAATTAAAAAGGAAAATAACTGAGTCTCTAATATCTACTATTTACTAGACATTAATAGTTGTACCCTGATTTCTCAGTAAAAGGAGCTAAAATTATAGCCCTACAGGTAAAACTTTAAGATGACATGTTGCAGGAACAGGGCAAATAATTAAAAGACACAAAGCCTAAAACAGATCTGACCCTTTCATAGTTGTCAGGAGGAAAAGGACTAACAAATCTTACCTGGAGACAAAGCAAGTGCTGGCCTGACAGTGCGACTGTTGTTGCCATTGAGCTTCTGATGGACAGCGACTGCACTCAGCAAGGCTTGCAAGTATTTCTCTTGCTCTATGTTACTGAAAGAGTCTAAAGAGGAGGCAGGGGCTATAAAAAGAAAAGATATTGAATAAAACATACTGTCTCTATGTCAACAAAGCTAACACACACACACATATATATAGTTTTGTTTTTTTTTTTGTCTTATTCTTTGTCTATACATTCTTCATGTTACCACACCCACATACAGAAACCTGTCCCACTTAAAGCTCCAATCTTTTAAGTGGCTAATCCTCCTGCGATGCTGATTTCACCACACCTACTTCTTTAACTATGGAGCCCTGGTAGCAAAGTGGATTACAAGCTGGGCTGCTAACCATAAGGTCAGTAGTTCGAATCTACCATTCTCCCCATGGGAGAAAAATAAAGCTTTCTGCTCTGGTAAAGATTTACACAGCCTTGGGAACCCTATACAGGGTTGCTATGAGTCAGAACTGACTCAGTGGCACACAACCACCACCACTTCTTTACAAGTCTCTTCCTAGGAGGAGGAGTCCATGGTCTGGAGAAGAAGCCACAAGGTAGCTTCCAAGCTCAGGCATTTAGCTTCTCATTATCCCAGCAACTAAAAATTAAAATGTTTGAAATATTAAAGGGTTTAAAAAAGTTAATGTAAACATTCCATTATTTTTTAATTCAATTTTTCCTTGAACTTTTTCAAGCCCCTTTATATTGTGAGAATTTCCAAAATGTGACAGACACACGAAGTGAACCCCTACTGTTGGAAAAATGGTGCCAATAGACTTTCTCAATGCAGTATTGTCATAAATCATCAATGCATAAAAAGCACAAGAAAGTGAAATACAGTTAAAGTGCCAAAACAAACCCCCCAGAAACAAAGTACACTTGTACTATGGAAAACATTCAAATTAAATGATAAAATTGGTTCCTATCACATAAATTTTTTTTTAATGTTTTATTGTGAATTATATGGTAGTTTACATGACAGAACTTTAGTTTTACATTCATTCCATCGTATATCATCTCATTGCCATGGTTCCAATCCCTTCCATGCATCGTCAACCAACTAAAGGGTATATCCTAGAAGCCCGCCTCCTCCTACACTCCCCCCTCCCCCGCCACACACACACTCCCTGTTTTCGGCCCACAGTCCCTTTCCCTCTCTGGATCCAAAGTCACCAGCCTCTTTATTACTCCATGTCATCGTCTCTGTCTCCATCTCAGGCATCTCTGTTTCTCTGGGTAGGGTCCCGCTCTCGGCTCTTCTTGGTTGATGGTCCCAGATACCTCTGCTCCTAGCCTGTAGAATTAATCACTCCCTTCCTTGTTCCAAAACGTCTACCTTTGCATTTCCAACCCTCATAATCCGTCCTGATAAGCATTATTCACTACAGTATCACAAGTTACCCATCTGTATTTCCTTTCATCCGCTCCGCCCAGATTGAATAGTACCCATTGGAGATTCTGCCTTCCTCCATGTTCCCTAGCACTAGGTTCCCCCTTGAAAGCTTGTAAGCCAGTCACTTCTTGCCTTTGTAGTCCCCCGCCTCCCCATTTGTGTATCCAATGTCCAAGTTGCCCATCTCCATCCATTCTGTATGTGCCTATCATATAAATTTTGAGATGCATCCCAGTTTCAGAGACAGCAAATGTGAACAAATGTGTGAGCATAAATATATAGTGTGGTTAATTTATATTAAATTAAAAAAAATCACAAACCCGTGAAATAAAATAGAATTTTTTTCTAACCAAAAGCTCAGTGATATGCTCATCAATGCTCCTAAAATACTTTGTCCCATTATGAAGCTTATCTGCTTGCACTCTATTACTCTCACTATATGGCTTAGGAGAATTCCACACGGGAGGAACCAGTTAAAGCCCAATTGCCTTTAATTACATCTGTGCTGAGACTTCAAGCCCCGAGAAATTATAAGAGGGAGCTTCAAAATGTGGAAAAATGGAATTAAAAAATAATGGAAAATGTTCAGGAACTTTTTGAAGTCCCCTCATGTAGAGTTTCCTAGGTATTGCCCTTAGTAAGGTGACGAATCAAAGACAATACAATGGCCTGCTTTCAAGTCAGAAATGGATGAGCATAAAGAGATATCAAAGAGAACATGGCTCTACCTGCTGAAACCATAGGGCATGATTTATATCATTTCCAAAATGGACAAATGTAGACATCCCTAAATTGGATCCAAGAGCTTAGTGCTCAATTGTTTAATTTTATCGAATATCTATTATGAACTAGTAGTTATGTGAAAAATCAGCAAAGCACAGCTCCTTGCTTCAAGACATCAATCGGAATGGCACTATCAAAAATATCCCCAGCAAAAAGGATAGCAGTATTTATCTCTGCTTTCTTAAACTAGATACCCCTTAACTTCCTAAAGACATCTTTAAGCAACATTTTAGTTATCAGTTTGCTGTCTTATTTTGGTTCTTTGTTTTTTGTGATTTGTAGAAATGGGACAGGCTATCTCAAAATACATGGGGTAGAATACCTGTTTGCCTTTGACGCTAGAAGACATATTTAGATGCTTCCCAGATGAAAGAAAAAAGATTGATATAATCTAGTTTTCATCTATAAAAATAATCTAGAATCAAGTACTTTATTATATTACTTTTAACTAAAATCCCAATATGGTGGTGGTGGTAGTGTGCTGTGGAGTCAGTTCCAACTCACAGTGACCCCATTTAAGGTGTCCAAAGCTGCAAATCTTTATAAGAGTAGAAAGCCTCATCTTTCTCCTGTGAAACGGCTAGTGGATTTGAACTGCTGACCTGTGGTAAGCAGCCCAATTTGTAACCCACTAGATTCTATGGGAAAATTATTGCATGATGCAGAAATCATTAAAAGAAGATGGAAGGAATATACAGAGTCACTGTTCCAAAAGGAAACGGCTGATCTTCAGCCGTTTCAAGAGGTAGCATATGAACAAGAGCCAATGATACTTAAGGAAGAAGTCCAAGGTGCATTGAAGGAACTGGCAAAGAACAAGGCACCAGGAATTGATGGAAAAATAATTGAAATCTTTCAAGAAAGTGAGGCAGCACAGGAGGCACTCACTCACTCAGTTATGCCAAGAAATTTGGAAGAGATCCGTATTTGTGCCCATCCCAAAGAGAGGTGACCCAATGAAATGCAGAATTCATTGGACAATCTCTTTGATATCCCATATGAGTAAAGTTTTACTAAAGGTAATACAGAAACGGCTGCAAGCATACATTGACAGAGAACTTCCAGAGGTTCAAGCCGGATTTAGAAGAGGCCATGGAACAAGGTATATCATTGTTGATGTCTGATGAATTTTGGCTGAAAGCAGAGAATATCAGAAAGATGTTTACCTGTGCTTTACTGACTACGCAAAGGCTTTTGATTGTGTGGATCATGACAAGCTATAGGCAACATTGCGAAGTAAGAGTATTCCAGAACACTTAATTGTGCTCATGAAAAATCTGTACTTGGACCAAGAGGCAGTTGTTCGAACAGAACAAGGGAACACTGGATGGTTTAAAATTAAGAAAGGTGTACGACAGGGTTGTATTCTTTCAACATATTTATTCAAGCTGTATACTGAGCAAATAATCCGAGAAGCTGGGTTCTATGAAGAAAAACGTGGCATCAGGATTGGAGGAAGACTTGTTAAGAACCTGCGATATGCAAATGAATACAACCTTGCTTGCTGAAAGTGAAGAGTACTTAAAACATTTA